GAACGGAGCCAGGCCAGGCCACCAATTCCCAGCTCAGAGAGCCTCCCCAGGAGGATATCGTGGTCAATGGTATCAAAGGCCGCTGAGATGTCGAGGACCAGCAGGGACACTTTGCCCCTGTCAGCCTCCCTCAATAGGTCATCACACAGGGCGACCAATGCCGTTTCTGTACCATGGCACGGCCTGAAGCCCAACTGAAATGGATCCAGGGCATCCGTTTCATCCAGGTGCGCCTGGAGCTGGTCGGCCACCACCCTCTCGACCACCTTGCTTAAGAAAGAAACATTGGCGATGGGCCTATAGTTGCCAATTTCGTCCGCCGCCAAACTGGGTTTCTTCCTAATGGGCCTAATGAGTGTCTCCTTAAGGGCAGATAGAAATCTGCGCTGAAGGAAAGACCCATTAATTATTACAGTGGCCCATTCTGTTGTTATTGGTCTGGCTGCTTTGATTAGCCAGGCCGGGCAAGGGTCCAAGGAGGAGGTGGTGGCACGGCAGCGATCAAGAGCCCTGGCCACGGAGTAAGGTGTGACAGGCTGAAAGGAGTCAAAAATCACTGGGCAAGACAGAGCGCTGGACATCTCTGCTCGACTCACTGTATTCAAAAAAGGAGAGATGGCCTCCGCTTTCGATTTTAAAAATGCTGCAAATTGGTCTGGTGAAAAACTAGGGGGAGGCCTATCACTCTGACCAATTCCAGATAGGTCGCGTATTATATGGAATAATTCCGCCTGCTGGTTGGATGCTTCGCTTATCCGGTTCGCGAAGTATGCTCGACTGGCAGCCTTTACCTTAGCCAGGTAAAGGTTAGTGGCAACCTGTGGGTTTTAATTTTAATGTAACAATCTTCATCTATTTTTATGCCTATATATTTATGGGTTAATTTTTGATTTTGTTACCGTTGGCTGTAATTTGAGATCCCAGTACACCAGCCACAGAGTGTTTGTTCATAATAGGGTGGTGTAAAAGCGTAACTAATAACTAAGTAAACATAAGAAGGAAGCCTTCCAGCCAGGAAGACTGGAAAATGTCCCCTCTCCTGCCCTGGACCCCCAGCCTGGAATCTGCTCCTGAGATGGATCCGATTCGCTCTCATCCAGATCATCAGCACAAGAGCAGGTTAATCATGGCCTCCTGAAGAATTCCTAAAGGGCAATAGCTCTCTCTCTCTCTCTGTGTGTGTGTGTGTGCGCGCGTGCATGCAGAAGGCAAGGATGTTCAGAGGACATTGGAGATGGCACCTCCCAGGGAAGGTGACTGGATCAGCTTCCTCCCAGGCAGGGGAGCCCCATCCTCTCCTCTCAAGCCCATGGGTTACCCCCCTTACCTCACCACTTTGCAGCCTTACCTCCTCTTCTTCCTCCTTGCACTCGCCCTGAGGCCAATTCCCACCCAGGAACGGGTAGCCTTAAGGAGCTTTTCCAACGTTTAGTAAAATGTGTGGTGTGAGAGATTTCCTGTGAGCCCCTGGAGAAGGAAAAACTAATATTTTTTTCCCCAAGATATTGTCTCTCCTTCCCCTTTTAAGCCCATGGGGACAGGGATCGAGAAGGGGGAGGGTCTCCTCACAAGAAAGCCAAGTAGGACCCCCATGCACACAGTGAGATGGGTGCCTTGCTCATAAGGAACAGAGGCAACTCCCCATGGCTGTAGGGATGGGATCTGGACCCTCTCTAGACATCTTCAATTTCTCCCCCCACCCAATATAACCCAAGTAGGAGACGCAGCAAAAAAAGGACCTGCTTTTTTTCCTCCCCCCTCCATGAATGTTTGTGGGTGGGGGGACGGCAGAAAGCATTACAGGAAGGAAGGCTTCGGATCCCGCCTGGGGAGCCAAGGCTGAGGGAAATGGCTCTTCCCGCCTCCCCCCTTCTCAAAATGGGACCCTTAAGCACAAAGCCTGGGGGGAGGCTTTCATGCGCCTCCTTTTTTGTTGGGAGAGGAGGGGGCACGAAGGTTTCCCCCCTCATGCAGAGAGGGGAAGGGGAGGAAACCTGAAAGGGGGAGGGGCGAGACCCTTCTTCACCCCCCCCACCCTGCATGGGTTTTTTTCCTTAGAGAAGGTGGGGTGGGCTAATTGGGGGAGGGTGGAAAGTGGGGGGAAGAAAGAAGCCTGTGAGAGTCCCACCCCTCCTTCATTCTTCTCTCTCTCTCACACACACACCTACCTTCAAAGGGAAAAGGACCGTGAAGGAGAAGATGGCGGCCGGCGCCTTCCTCCTCCCCTCAGGACCAGCCCTTTCCTCCTGCCTCCAATTTTACCCGCCAAAAAGGGGAGGAAAAGGGCGGGAAGGAAGAAAGAACCACGAGGACGCCTGCTCAGGGAGGCCAGAATAAAAAACCAAATAGTCAACTTTCGATGATCAATCACCTTCTCGCTCTTTGCTTCTTTGTTTTAGGCGCTTAATGGCCGATCGAAGGCAAACACACACACACACCCGATCTGGAAACACCGGCGTCGCTCCAACCAGCCACCCCACTCCGGACGCTTCCTTCTCAGGGATCTCCTTTAGCCTCCGTGCCCAGGCTCGAAAGCAGGAGGGCTCCGCCTCCCAGCCCTTGAGCACCTTGCTCTGCGCAGGCGCTTTGCCTTCCCTGGCAGTTGGAGGGGGGAGGGGCAGTTTAGAGAGGGCGGTGGGCCGGGTTCTTCCGTTTTTACCCCCTCAGGCGGTTCTTCTCTTTCTTCCCTTCAGGCTGGACTTCTGGCTCCCCTCTGAGGGGATTTGCCTGAGTTTTCCCCTTCAGAAGTTTGTTTTTCTCGCAGGGAAGGGCTGTTCTTCCCTCAAGGGGAATTTGTGATTTATATATATATTGTGTGTATTTAGTTGTACTCCCTGCTTTCTGCCCCCCTCCATTTCTCCTCTTCATGGCTTCCCGAGGGGAAGAATTTCAACTGCAATCCAACATCTGGGAATGTTCTGGGATTCAATGTCAGTAGTACAAGGATGACACCCAACTGTGCGCTAGTGTTTATAGACCATACCCATCACATATCACTGACCTCATTTGCAACCCTCAGCTAGGTAGTATAGCTAACATGATATAGCTGACTTCTAGCTTCTTTCCTCTGTTTAGGCCTCTCTCTTTCTGCTGTCTCATCGCCTTCCCATTTATTTATTTTTTTATTTATATACTGCCCATCTGGCAGCCAAACAGCAGCATTAACATATAGGTGTGAAAATCAAAAATCATAAAGTGAAATGAAGGTAAAATTATAATACCATAAATACAATTAAAAGCATAGAAAAATGTCACCCTGTTCTTTTTCCCCCTATTTATTTTAACAACACATTCTACACATTCCTTTCCTCGTGTTAGTGTCAGGACTTAATACTTAATACTTAACATCTAACATGGCACGCTAATGCAAAATGGTACTACAGATACTAAGCACGGCTAGGCATAAGCATGATGGACCAGAAATTTCTTAACACCAGGAAGTGCTTCCATAGGCACAGTTGCCTATTCATTCGTTTGGTTCGGATCACGGTTTGTTGTGTGGTTCTTCATGCAGTCAGATTCCACAGCTGGTTGCACAAGTAGCTGTCTAGTGAAAACCACCAAATGCTTGGGCATAACACCCCTCCCCCCATGAATATAGATTGGTGGAATTTTAATCTGGACCAAGTCCAAATGATTTTGCAGCCACTTAAAGATGTCAGCTCCAGACACGGGAGCTCCTTGTCCTATCTATTCTTGAATAACTGGAACAGAAGTTCATACACATTTTCTATTTCTTCTTCCCTGCTCCCCAAATTCCTTCTGTCAATACAATCCTGCACCAGAAAACGGCAGCACGCCAACAAAAGATTCAGTTTTGCTCACCTAGATTTCCAGTTTCCCTTCTGCTGAAAGAGGAAGGGAACAAAACACCATAGTTTTTCTACTGAACATCTACTCAACCCCCGGACATCTATTCTCTCTGATAATCTCTCTTTCATATCAAAGACGTATTCTGCCTTAACTGAAGTTCCTTCCACATTGAAACATGAGCACTTTCCACACATTAGAACTAAAAATTTACTCCATGGAGGTTTAATAAGGTTTCTGCTATTGCTATAACTCTTTCTACATTTGCTTGAGGCCACTGCTAATAGCGTGTACTGAGAGCACCAAAGCTCTTTCCACATTCCGTGCGTTGAAATGGTTTCTCTCCGGTGTGAATTCTTTGATGTCTACTTAAGCAACTGCTTTGGCTGAGGCTCTCTCCACACTTAAAAAAAAATTCCTCCCTCTCAAGAGGTTTTCATGTGAAATACAATTACTACTCATTGTCACAGTTTTTGAGTGTTCCGTGCATTGGTATGGTTTTTCCTCAGGCTGGACTCTGCTTATTCCAATCTGATGTATATTTGAATGTACATTTCTGAAGCTAAGGCTCCAGTACTTTGCCCATCTCACGAGAAGACTCCCTGGGAAAGACCCTGATGTTGGGAAAGTGTGAAGGCAAGAGAAGGGGACGACAGAGGACGAGATGGCTGGACAGTGTCATCGAAGCTACCAACATCAATTTGATCAAACTCCAGGAGGCAGTGGAAGACAGCAGGGCCTGGCGTGCTCTGGTCCATGGGGTCACAAAGAGTCGGACATGACTTAACAACTAAACAACAGCAGTCATGTGAAAAAGGAAGTACATCCTCATTGAATTCTATAGTTTATGTTTCAGGACAGCAATAACTTGAAGTAATCATTTTCTGTATGACCTTATCAGTCTCTCACATTGTTATGGAGGAATTTTGGCCAACTCTAATTCACTGAGGTTTGCAGGCATTTGTTTAAGGTCCCACCACAGCATTTCAATCAGGTTGAAGTCTGGACTTTGAGCCATTGCAAGACCTTAATATTTTTTTTTCTTTTTCAGCCATTCAGTTGTACATTCATATGTGCAACTTGGAATTAGAGATGGGCATGAACCAGAAAAATGGTGGTTCGTGGAAGCCTGCATACCACAAATTTCTGAACGTTTCCCTGATGAGCCACGAATTGGTTCATCAGTTTGTCGGCCTGTAAAAGGGCCCACCAGGGCAACGAAGAACACCCACTCCCCCCACCCCTTCCCACTGTCCCCATTGCCTTCCTACATTTTGCTGCCATGGCCTCCCCTGCAGCCACCTTGAAAGGCAGCCCAGCCAGCTTCCCGTCGGCACCCTCTACCAGGTCATCACTCAAAAATGTTTTAAAATATTTTTTTTAAAGTTTACAAAAATTCACGAGGCAGTCCAGGGCTGCTGCTGTGCATGCACCGGCATCTCAGGTGAGAGGTGAGTACATGCGCAAAGGCATACCCAGCTTGCGGAAGCCAGCTGGGCTGCCTCTGAAATTTTTTTAATTAATTTTTTAAATTGTTCTTTTTGAGAGATAGTCGTTGCCTTTGGGCATGCACCCATCTGTCAACTGAGAGGTGGGTGTATGCTCAGAGGAACTTCCACCTGTGGGTGTTAGTGGAGCTTCCTCTCAAAAAAAAAGAGAGAGAAAAAAAAGAGAATTCTGGACTGTTACCCTAAAATTATTATTTTTTTAAAAAAATTTAGAGCCAGTCTGCAGGCACATACACAGAGGCAGCCCAGTGTGCAGGAGCCACTGGGCTGCCTCAAGATGGTGACAGAGGAAGAAGTGGCAGCAGCAAAAGATAGGGAGCCAATGGGATAGTAGGAAAGGGGTGGGGAGCAGGAGGAAGGGGGGACGCGCAAGCCATTGGGGTGGGGAGCAATGAACCAGGAAGTTCAGGAAAACTCTTAAAACATTCATGGTTTGGGTCAGTTCAGGTTCTCTATTTCAGAACCAGCAAACCAGCAATTTCCCACAAATTTCCTAGTTCTTTTCTTGGTTCAGGCCAGATCATCACCCCTCCACCACCGTGCTTGACAGTGGATATGAGGTGTTTGTGCTGATATGGAATGTTTGATTTTTGCCAAATGTGGCACTATGCATTATGGCTAAACATCTCCACTTTGGTCTCGTCTCTCCTACGGACCTTGTTGCAGAAGTCTTGTGGTTTGTCCTGATGCAACTATCTTGTGGTTTGTCCTGATGCAACCTGACAAACCTAAGCCACGCTGCCATGTCCTTTTTAGAGAGAAGAGGCTTTCTCCTGACAACCTTTCCAAACAAACCGTACTTCTTCAGTCTTTTTCTAATTGTACTGTCATGAACTTTAACATTTAATGTGCTAACTGAGGCCTGTAGAGTCTGAGATGTAACTCTTGGGTTTTTGGCAATTTCTCTGAGCATTGCACGGTCTGACCTTGGGGTGAATTTGCTTGGACGTCCACTCCTGGGAAGATTGGCAACTGTCTTAAATGTTTTCCACTTTTGAATAATCTTCCTCACTGTAGAATGATGGACTTCAAATTGTTTGGAAATGGACTTATAACCCTTCCCGGATTGATGGGCAGCAACAATTGCTTCTCTACAATCATTACTGATGGGTTTCCTCCTTGGCATTGTGTTAACAAACACCTGAATGCACCAGACCAGCAAACTGCTAAAACGTCAGCTTTTATAGAGGTGGTCACACTTGCTGATAATCAGCACTGGGTTAGCAGCATCTGGCTGCCACTTAGCCTGTTAATTCCTGTGGAAGCAGTAAGGGTGTACTTAGGTTTTCACACATGGCTTCTTCATTTTGGCTTTACTTCTGTAAAATAAGTAATGACACAGTGTAATATGTCAAGGGTTGTTGTTTATCTGAGGTTGTATTTACCCAATTTTCAGACCTGCTAAGGATCAGGATTTTAAAATTATTATTATGTCCTAATATGCAAAACCATAGAATTAAAAGGGAATGCACTTTCTTTCCCACATGACTGTATCTGTTCTAATGAGACACTATCTTATTCCTTTTTTCTCGGTATCTTTTTTCTATAATTAGACGTCCATGAATACTAGAGCCCTAAGAAGCTGGAGATGTATTTTCCTTTGTCCTGGGCCGGCTTCCCTTCTGCCTTTCCCCTCCTTTTTGGCGTCTAATTTTGTTCTTTTCCACCTTCACGTTCAGTTGTTTTCTATTCCATATAATTCTTGTTGTTCTGTTTGTACCTGATTGAGAAAAGAGAGAAGGTGTGGTGTGGAGGTTAAAATGCAGTACTATCGCCAAAACTCTCCTCACAACCTGGGTTCCATTCCAGGTAAGCAGCTCAAGGTTCACTGAGACTTCCATCCTTCCAGTGTATATGGACTAATTAGGTATACTAATACATATAAAATGTGCATGGGAGAATGAATGGGATCATATGATTTGAAGTAATCAGTCTCATAAAATAAGAGAAAAAAATGTTCAGCCTGTTGATAACAGGATGAAGGAAGTTGTTTTCACAGCTGTCTTACTCTTCTCGTGCCACCTGCACAGCCCCATGAGTGACTTTCTCAGAAAGGTATATATGTTTATCTCAAATGCATCAGTTCAGGTCCGGCATCAAAAAGAATGTGTTTCTCTTAGGCCAGGACCGATTCGGAGAACCTGAAACTGGGAGAATAAAATACTACCACTTTGCCCATTATTCGAATGCTTTGGCGACATGCCTCGAACCATTTTACCAATTTGGCAAAATGCCCTGATGGGTGCTACTACATACCTACGTAGGTG